AATGTCACCTGGTTTTTCTGTTTTATTGGATTTTTTATTCACTGCAGGTAAATGCACATCTTTTTTTGCTGTATTCATAGGTCCTCTTTGAAGGAATAACTGATATCCATGAAAGGTGAAGGAAGTTTTGATAAGGAAATGGTTAGTCAAAAGTTTATGAAATTATTTTAGACCTGCCAAACTTTACTTAAGTGATAGTACACAATGAAAATATACTTTAAAAACACAAATTTAACTACCTTTTCTCTTGAAGAGGAAATGTTTGCAATAGTTAAAAATACTGGATAAGGGACAGGCAGATAGCTTGAGAACAGGGAAGAAAGCACATTAATTTGTGTGGCCAAAATAGATGTCACAGAATTACACATTAAAGTTAATGTGGTTTATTCATAGGGTATTTACCTACACTTTTGACACAATCTAATAAACATTTTCTGATTATAAGGGGCTGTCAGGTGTGGGACTGTGCAGAAGCAACCGTGTTGGCCACCTACCTGACATCAAAGGAGGAATTAGAAAAACTGAAAACAGGCAAGAACTAAAGGAATACTAACTTTCCCTCATTTAGTGTAAGATCAGAGAGCAGCTTGAGCAGTTTGTGCCTGATACTGTTATTTGTAGAATGGAAGCTTGTGCTCAGTTGCTAACTTCTTTCATACATCCAACAATCAGTATTCATAAAGTTGTTTATATTACTAAGAGTAATTTTCAAAATACTATGTTTACTAGGGTAGGAAACAATAAATAGTGTCTTCTCCCTATAAAAATAACTACAGTGCACTCCTACACCTTTCCCTTCCCCCCCTTCCCTGTCAGGCATGCATCTCCTAAACTCTAAGGGTTCCCAGGGGAGCAGCAGGCAGCGGCAGCTGGTCCTAGGCTAACCCCCTGAACCTGTCCCCAGGGCCCCCTTTACTCTGACTTCTCAGTGAGCCAAAGCAGTGCTACCTAGGCTCTCTTCTGTTGCATCTTCTATCCTAAGCCCTTCCTTGTTTCACTGTCCTCGGCTTTAATAAACGTACTCTCCAAAAACAAAACAACAAAACTACATAAAGTTTTGGTTGCAAGGTTGCAGGCTCAATTCCTGATAGGGGCACATACCTAGATTGTGGGTTCAATCCCCAGGTTGGGGCATGTACAAGAGGCAACCGATGTTTCCATCTCACATTGATGTATATTTCTCTCCTTTCCTCTCTCTAAAATCAATAAGCATCCTCAGGTGAGGATTTAAAAAAGCAAACAAAAAAAACACCTATAAAAGTTTCAGTTGCATTGAAAAATTTTATTTAGCTGGAAAAATTCACTTGTATGAAACATTTTCTCCCTGGAGTATGCTGAAGGAGTGAAAAGTCAATTTATAATCAAATTAACAAAGTCTTTTTAATGGAATGCTCATAAAATAAATTTATTCTTTAAGCAGTTTGATAAGGCAACTATACCCTTATTTCAGTTCATCAGATGCTCAGAGTGTTTTCTAAACAGACCTATTATTGACTATTTGCCTCTTGCCATTTTACTTTTTTTTTCATTTGGAAAGAAGATTCACTTAATTATGTGTTTTGTGGTATGTAATTTAAATTCTGCCTCAAAATGCCATGTGTTTATCATGTGTTTATGTGGATTTTAGTTCATAACTGAAACTTTGAGGTCAGTCATAATATTTACACTTTTGGATTTTTTTTGCAGAGGAAAACCACCTACTTTGAGCATGAATTTCCAGGAAGCATTCAGGGGTATTTATGTGGACTAGTATCAAGAATAGGAATTAAAATGTATTTTATTCCTTGAAAGTTAGTATGCAAGATCAAAGACTTTATGCGACTTTATATGGAATTTTGTTTATAGCTTGACATTACAGAAAAGGCTGATGAAGCATTCCTTGTCCTCTGTAGGGACCTGTCTATGAAGACAGCTCCCTATTTCTTCCTTTTGTCTAAGACTATAGTTAAATCTTTTACTTTACAATGTCAGCCTCTTGTTCATTTTAGTTAACAGTTCCAATCTGCATTTTCTTTTTTTTCTCATTCACAGGGAAGATGATTTATATAAATTACTACTTAAATCTCTTGTCAGGAAGTTGGCTCAGTTTTATTTTCTCCAGAACACTATAGTTTGAAATAACTTTAATACATATTTTTTAGATTCACTGATTATATTGATTAGGTTTCACTTTTATACTTTAAATTAGCGATTTAATTGGATATTTTTCTAAATTAATTATTTAGGTTTATTAGGATATGTAACTATGTTATATATGTTTAATAATCATATTTGAAGCAGATACGTTATATGTGAATTTTTTAGGAGGGAAACTGCTTATTGAATAGATTAATCCTGTGAGTTCTTAATTATTTTAAGACATAAGACAGCATCATTTAAGTGCTAAAGTTACTCTATTTACCTAAACAACTTAGATATAGTCTATGATGATTGAGGAACCAAAGAGTTTTTATGTCAGATCTATCAATATTTACTATCTTAGCAATTGAACTTGGAACTTTAAAATTTTAATCAGTTAATTTATTTAAAAACCACGACAATCTATTGCATGTTAATATAAATGACATTTTTATGAAAAAGGACTATTTTCCAAATCAAAAAAATTTAGTGAGTAAAGTGGCATTGTTTTATATTGTGCAAATACTAATAATGTCTGACTAAATAGCAAAAACTGAATTCTCACATTTGCTTCTGCATTTGAACTGTTGCAGTACAAATGCCATGTAGTCTGGAAAACATACACATTCATGAGAGAATGAGAATGAAAAAAGGTACATTTGATATGAAAAGGGTTTTTTTCCTTGCAGACTCCCTGCCAGGGTCTCAGAGACTCCCCAGGGGGTTCACCTACTATACTTTGAGAACCTCTGCTTTAGATAATAAATTATCTCATCTGTAGAAATTAAAGGCTCAATAAAAAGAATTCTAGAAATAAAGGTTCAAAATTAGCATCTAAAAGATTATTCATTCTTTTGTATCATCACATCCAGTCTGTGTTCATATTTCCCTATTGTCTCATTTTTTTTACGTTTGTTGATAAGAGTCAAACAGGGTTCACACATTATGTTTATTAATGTGTCTTTTAAATGTTAACCTGTTGGTTCCTCTTCCTCTTTTTTCTTTGCAATTTTAGCTGGAGAAACTGCTTCATTTGTCTGCAATTTCCCTCATTCTGGTTTCGGCTGAGTGCATCTCTGGTATAATTTAACACGTTTCTCAATTTTCTGTAGTACCTGTAAATTTGTAGGTAGATCTTTATAGGTTTGATTAGATTTAGTTTTAATTTCGTTTTTTGGCAAGATTTCTTAGATGGTGATGTATATTTTCTTTCACATTCCATCAGGAGGATGTCTTTGTGATGTTCACATTGATCAGTCAGTTCAGGTTTTGTCAGCCTAACTTATACATTATAAAGTTCCCTGTCAGCTTATCTCTAATGACTTTATTAACATCAATTTCCAATTGTTGCCCCAATCCAATATATCATTAGATGTTGCAAAAGTTGATATTCTGATTCTCAAGTTTTCTGAATGTATTAGTTGGGATTCTTCAGTAAAGGAGACCTTTTCCTCATACACTACTTCATTAACCTGAAATAGCATTTGTACAGAAACGGCCAGAGTAAAATGTTTGATTTTTTTTTAATTTACAAATTTCCAGAATAATTAATTGGTGCCCTAGCAACTTCCAAAGATGATTGGAGAGTCTGGTTTTTTGTTTTCTGGTTTTCTTTAGTATTATGAACTTAATGATTTTGCCTTCCATTTATTATCCCTTTTGTGCCCTATTTTTTGACCAGTGGAAGCCCTTTTATGTTGACTCCTTTGCCATTGGCACAACCTCAGTAATCTTTGATAGTTTTTTTTTTTTTTTTTAAATATATCTTTATTGATTACAGAGAGAGGAAAGGAGTGGGAGGGAGAAAAACAGAAACATCAATGATGAGAGTCATTGATCGAGCCCGCAACCGGGCCTGTGCCCTGACCGGGTATTGAACCCCAATTGCCTGTATCCTAGGTCAACGATCAACCGCTGAGCCACGCCCAGCCGGGCAGTAATCTTTGATAGTTTCTTTGTTTTCTGAAACAAGATGTGTTAAGCTCATCTTGTACATTTTCTTCCCCAGACCCAGAATCCGATACAGTGACCCTAATTCAGTGGAAAATGGCATTTAGATATAATCTGGGTGTTATTTATGTTTATTTCTATAGGCCTTTTGGTTGACAGAGCTAGGAAAACTATATTTTATAGAGAAAAAAATTATTCATGAGTTTTTGATGCTATTTCCAATTCAGATGTAAGATTACAGAGACTTTACTGGATTTTTTAATTTTACTTTTTTTTCTCACAACTGAAAATACTGGTTCTAACATGATTATTGAATCAAATTATTTTATTAGAAGACTGAGGTCACAGATTCAAATACTGAAATGGACCGGGCATCTAAACAAATAAATCAGGCCTTTCGTGAGTCTCAACAGGGGTGGGGCTTATAACCTAGAGAGCATGAGTCTTTCCTAATGGAAGCACGGGTGAATTTGCTCTAGCTGATTTTTACCAAGAGGAGGTATAGGCACAGTATTACTTCATTTTCCCATTTTTAAAAAGGAGATAAACATCCAGCTATATTATGTGAAATTATTTGGCTTTTAGAAATTGACAACTAATTAAAAATTTTAAGAGTCCCATTTGGGCCAAACAAATAATTTCTGCCATAGGCCTGTGCTTTCTTGGGCCAAACAAATAATTTCTGCCATAGGCTGTTTGTGGAAAGGATCTGAGGAATTGGTGGCTACGCTCGCTTGTCAGGTTCTTCCGGGCTCCTGGGGACCTGAGAAATAGAGCGGAAAAGGAGGAAGAGGAGGACTGACTCAGTTCTGTTTTGCTAATCACGACGCATTTATTTATCCAACTTCTCTTTTTGAGCTTTTAAAAAAGTTTAAAATAGGCCTATTGACCATTAATTTTGCTTTTTGTTTCTTTTTTCAAATTCAAAACAGGGACTGACAACATCTCAGAAAAGTGGTGGGAATGTTCTTCAGATGATGTATGAGAAGCCCGAGCGATGGTCTTTCACCTTCCAGTCGTACGCCTGCCTCAGTCGTGTACGAGCTCAGCTCGCCGCTCTCGATGGCAAGCTCAAGGATGTGGAGAGACCTGTGCTATTTTTTGAACGCTCTGTGTATAGCGACAGGTAAATATAAATAACTTGTACTGATTAGTTTGGAACCTTGGCTTAGAACTGGAATTTTTTCCCCCGTTTCCTGGGAATCAAAGTAATAAGACAGGTTGAGTTGGGGGTTTGAGATGGAAAGTGACATTTAATACTTTTAGCACTTGGATATTATTGGCATTAGGGCAGTTCTAGCATTTATAATTTCATAGATTCCATGGAAACTAGGGAATATGGTGGCCATCTCATTCAAATTTGTAGAGAAATTTTTTCCCCTCCAATCCTCTTAAAATTCTCATTTGCTCTGGTTAACTCTGAATCTATATTCTATATTCTCACTGGAGAAGGAGATAAAAAATCTCTAAGGGGGCCTTGGAATTACCCTGCTTATGCAAGGATTCTTTTAACCTCTAGACTTAGCTCAGAACAGAGATTCTCAAACTTTTGTTTTCAGGACCCCTTTTCATTCTTAATAATTATTGAGTCCAAAGATCTTTGTGTCTTATTCATATTTATGTTATTAGAAGTTAAGATTGAGAAATGGAAAAAATTTATTTAAAATTAGCAATAATAAACCCATCATGTATAAACATAAATAACATACTAGTGAAAATCACATTTTTCAAAACGAAATTAGTGAGAACAGCATTTTATGTTTCTGTGAATCTCTTTAATGCCTGATTTAATAGAAGACAGCTGGGTTCTCATTTATGCTTCTATATTTACTCTGTTAAATATATTTTTTTGGTTGAAGTATAGTATGTAAAGTAATCTGGCCTCTCATAGAACCCTTGGAATGGTTTTAAGAGTCTTTGAGAACCACTGGCCAAGTACATAATTTTCTGTAGTTGGAGGTATTCTATTGTTTTTTCCTGCTGTCCAAGGCAATATCTGCCACAGGTTTTAGGAGAATGTTCCATGTCCATTTAGTAGGTCCATTTTCTCTTTTCTGTTTCTCTGTGCTTTTTGGAAAGGATTTATGTGTTGATATAAACTCTCTTTCAGGTATATTTTTGCATCTAATTTGTATGAATCTGAATGTATGAATGAAACAGAGTGGACAATTTATCAAGACTGGCACGACTGGATGAATAACCAGTTTGGCCAAAGCCTTGAACTGGATGGAATCATTTATCTTCAAGCCAGTCCAGAGGTGAGACTTAATAAATATTTGTTTGCTCTTTTGAAAATTTAAGGTAATATTTAGAAATTTTTGCGGTGTTATGCAGTGAAGGCAATTTAGTTGAACTTCGCTCCCCACCTTCTAGCTTCCTACCTTCAAATTAGAAACTCAGAACTGTGTAGATAGTAGCATTCTCTTTTCTCAGCAAACTAGAAGCCCAGATGTGGCAAATTGCTCTTTTAGGTCCTTCTATGTTCTTCCTCAGTTCTATCCTTCATTATTTCTTATTTGCAGAGTCTCTTATTACAGCTAGGTTAGGAAACTTGCTCAAGCAACTTCTAGAATATTGGTAGGCTTCATGAGTGGGATTTTGGGTATTTTAATTACTGTTGAATTTCCAGTGCCTAGAATAAGGCTTGGGTTCGTAGTAGGAGCTCAGTAAATATTTGCTGAATGAATGGCAAAGTTGATGGAGGAAACCTTTCATGGTTTTGGCTTGGAATGGGTTGGGTAATAGCAGCTACAGTTGGGAAGAGACTTAGTGGACCCTTGCCATTTTCAGTTTAGGGAGTTGACTTGAAAATGTTCCTTTCATGATAGGTTGCAACATAGCTATCGTTTACATATGAAATCATGTAATGAATCCAGGAAGACCAAGTGGATGCTTTTCATAAAACTAACCCAAATGAGAGCTTACATGTATTAAATTTCTGGTTTTGGTGCTTGTATTCTAATTTTTCTCTGTTTTTTATTTCTGCTTCTTCCCTGAGTCACAAAGTAGGCTCTGATGAATGTAAATGTTATGACTTCTAGCCTGAAAGAATATTGTATTATATTAAAGCTGTTTTTTCAAAGAATCTAGGTTTCTGATTCCAACTGATAATTTTGTTCTAATAAGTAAACCAGAATTTAACAGTAATAATTTTGAAATTTACTTTCATTTCTGAAAATAAGTTTTTGTTTTTAATTATGAAAATAGTAAAAGCAAATATAGAAGAAAGAGCATAAAGAATACTAATTATTTTATGGTTAGAAACATAGTCAATATTTTAAAGTCTAATACAAAACTTTTATTTCATTAATATTGTTTATGATATCTTTTGATTAGAGCATCATTTAATTATTTGAAAAGAGAATTTATAATAGACTTAGAAGCACAGTTTTATGTTGTACTTTTTTCTTTTTGCCAAACTTATTTTAGATAGTATATTTCAAATATGGATGCTAAAAGTTTATAGGCTTATTTTTGAAAGTACTACTTGGTTTAGAGCCATCAAGTGGTTGAAAAGTACAAGGAGTGGGAAAAGGAACTATTTTTTTCTTTCTAGAAGCAATAGAGACTTTGGCTAGCATGACTAAAGAGACACTAGAGAAGAAAATTTTAATGGCATCAGATAAGAATAATTGTCCCCCCTACCCTTCTTATTGCTTTTAGAAATGCTTGAGTAGAATATATTTACGGGGAAGAAAAGAAGAACAAGGCATTCCTCTTGAATATTTGGAGAAGCTTCACTATAAGCATGAAAGCTGGCTCCTGCATAGGACGCTGAAGTAAGGCTTCTTTATTCTTATTTTATTACTCATTTTTAGTACCTTTATCAAATTTTAATAAAAATGTACAATATATCCAATTTTTTATTTTCAGCCATTTTATTTATTCCTATTGTAATCTCTCTCAGAATTAGGTGTGGCTTTTGTTTCTTTTTATTTCAGAGATCCATTTCCTTAAAGTTTTTATAGCTAATCTTCCCCAGTGGTATTGATGGCATATAATATATGGAATTTCACATTAAGTGATAAAATAGGAAATATATCTGTGTACATTATTTAGGTACTCTCTTCCAGAGAGTATTTTAAGATAAGGTGTTTCAAATTTGTTTCTTTGATTGAGACTTGGGAGGTAGTATAGCATAGTTGTTAAAAGTATGGACTTTTTGACTAGTCAGTTTTTGGTTCAAATCCAGTCTCTCTCACTAGTGTGTGATGTTGGACAATCTCTTTGAGTTTCAGAGTTGAACTTGAGTTTTCTTATCTTTAAAATTCAGACAGTCCTACTTTATGGTATGTTTTTGGTTTTCGAGGAGTATTATATGTCACAGTGCCTAGCTTTATAGATTTTATACCTGAGATTTTTAGATATTGGAAGTAAATCTTGGTGAGAAAGAAGGGGCTATCAAATGAATTACTTGCAGAATAACGTTAGTATAGAATGATTGACATTTTGATTTTTCTGTGATATAATGAGTTTTTAGTTTTTCTCTTTTTTTAATTTTTATTTTTTTAAATATATCTTTATTGATTTCAGAGAGAGGAAGGGGGGGAGAGAGAGATAGAAACATCAGTGATGAGTCATTGATCGGCTGCCTCCTGCACTCCCCCTACTGGGGATTGAGCCCGTAACCCACGCTTGTGCCCTGACTGGGAATCCAATCTTGATTGCCTGGATCATAGGTCGATGCTCAATTGCTGAGCCACGCCAGCTGGGCTGTTTATTGCTTTTTCTAATTATTTTGTTCATCTCTCTTTAAATAGAACCAACTTTGATTATCTACAAGAAGTGCCTATCTTAACACTGGATGTTAATGAAGACTTTAAAGATAAACACGACAGCCTGGTTGAAAAGGTAAACTAACATTTGCTTTATCTTATCTAAAAAAGTGTTCTCATTTGTGAGAATACAATTTTCTAACAGAAATGATTACATAAAGTTACGTTAAAGGACCATTAACACCTTGCTGACTGGCTATTTCGAGCCAGAATTTGCAGGTGCAGCCAGCTACTTTGGTCAGCAAGGTGTTTAAAATTACTTAAATTAATGTAAGTGCAGAGATGAGTTAAGTTGTGACCGGTCAGCAATGTTCAGACACGGAATCACCTATATACTCGTGACCAGTCAGTAAGCTTTAGAGGGATTGAGACTCTTTATTTAGATTCTAAGTGTAACTTGAAATTCTAACTTTGTGGCCTTACCTAAGATAAGGAGCTTCTTTAGTTCCTTTATCTGTGATAGGAATAATCACAAAAGTTCTTGCTCACCAGCTTCTCTGCTCTTTCCCCTTCTTTACCTGTTCCCTACACTACCAATCATTAGACATTTTAATAATAAAGTACTTGTTTACTTTTTCAAATAAATTCAGTGTGGAGGATATTTGAAGTTGTACGATAAGGATCTTAATCCATTTTTATATTAGCTGAAGTCTTGAGATTAAAAGGAGTTTCAGTTTTGAAGTTCACTTGGGACCTTGTCAGTGATGAATTGTCATTGTCTAATCATTGAGTCATTGTCTTAATCAGAGTTAATCTACCCCCCAGATGTTCAGGATATTCTATTAAGTGAGTAGTGCCTCTATTGATAAAGGTACTGGGAGAGAACCTATTGATGAATGCCTGAGAGAGAATAGTCATGGAAATTATATAACAAGTATCTCTTATATTCGTGTTAATTAACTTAGTGATCTAAGGTCTAAAGAAGCCACACTTGGTTTAGTTTTGAGATAAATTGATTTTTCTATTCTCCTTTCACAAAATGTCTGCTATTTCCTATGATACATACTTGATATTCATTAAGGGATATATCTCAAGAATTTTGAAAACCTCAACATTTATAGATAACTGTTATCACATATAGTTGTTTTCCCATCATATAAGGTAAAGCATATCTGGATAATTCAAGTGACTACTTCCTTATATTAAAAAATACAGGATAGAATTCACTTAAATGATACTATTAAGTCAGCCATTGCAGTACTAACAGCCAACCATTATTTTAACTGAATGATTCTGGAAAACCACTTTTAAAATTTTTATCTTAACATTTTAGTGTTTTGACTAAGACTCATCATTTTGTATTACTTATTTTTATTTTCATTAATAATGTTAGCAGTTGGCATTCTTTTTTAGGTATCTTTACATGGCAATAATCGTTGTCTGTTCAGGAGAATTACTGTGTAGTCTAGAATATGAAGAGAACAGAATTTTGTTGCTGTGATGTTGGTTAGTTGGCTAGATTCAGTCACTGCTTATATGACCTTTCCTCATACATTAACATTACAGACTATATACAAGATTCAAATTTGTGCTTTAGAGAAATTACAGAAAATTCCAGGGGAAGGGGGGCCGTTGCCAAAGAAAAGAAAAGAAGAAAAATTACGGATCTGTTATGTGTCTGAACTTTCAGAGCTGTTTCAACCATTGTAGTTACTAAAGCTGCACGTGTCAGTGGTCTATGGTATTATAAAGAGATAAAATTATGATTATAAAATTAAAGATTATAAAAGAGATTATGGCTATTATAGAGCTATATCAATCTTAGGCTAAATTTAATAACTCCTGTAATTACATTTTAGGTAATTCAGCTTTTACTTCTAAACTATTTATTAATACATCTTTTAAAGTAAATGCTGCAGCTTTGTGATAGAATTACTTATACAGTTGGGGTCTTCAATTATTATATACTTTTAAATGAAGATGAATATTAGATATCTCAAATTAGTTAAATAATTATGTTAATATATTTTTCTTCCCTTCAGGTCAAAGAATTTTTGAGCACTTTGTGATCTTGCAGAAGACTACAGGCAGCAAAATGATTCCAGATACTTCAGCTTTGTGTATCTTCGTAGCTTCCTATTCATGCATATGAATTCATTCATATTCATTCTTTAGAACACCCAAGATTTTAACCATTTTTGTTCCAAGAAAAAAATTTTTTTTTATGAATCCTATATGAAAGTTTATTGCCAGTTCGTTCCCTCCCTCCCTCCCTCTTAAAAAAACAAAGACATTTAATTATCTCTCATGGCAAGAAGTCTGGAGGTAGATGGTTCAAGAATCACTATAGTGGCTAAACTATATTGTGAAGACCCCACCCTCCTCCTGTCTTTCCCTCTGTCACCCTCAGCAGGTTGGCTTTTTTCCTGGTGCTTCTCATCTTACTGTTGACCACTTTCTTAACTGGAAACTAATGTTTCATAGAAAATGGTAATGTGTCCTGTGTAAATTAGTGCCAAAAGTTCAAAGTGGAATTTAAGGAATCTCTAGAAAAAGAATTGTTTTAGCCCAGCCTGGCGTGGCTCAGCGGTTGAGCATTGACCTAGGATCCAGGCAATTGGGGTTCGATTCCTGGTCAGGGCACATGCCCGGGGTTGTGGGCTCGATACTCAGTCAGGGGTGTGCAGGAGGCAGCCGATCAATGACTCTCTCATCATTGATGTTTCTATCTCTCTCCCTCTCCTTTCCTCTCTTTGAAATCAGTATAGATACATTAAAAGAAAAAGGAAATGTTTCTAAAAAAATAACTTAAAAAGATAACTGAAGGCCCAGCCAGGGTATCTAAGTTGGCTGAGTGTCGTCCTGTGCACGAAAGGGTTGCCAGTTCAGTTTCCGTTTAGGGCACACTCCTGGATTTGCCGGTTCAGTCCCCAGTCTGGGCACATGCAGAGGGCCGCCAGTTAGTGATTCTCTCTCACATTGATGTTTCTTTCTCTCTCTCTAAGCATGTCCTCGGGCAAGGATTAAAATAAATAAAAAACTGAAGGTTATATGAGTAAATGATTTAATTTATATGGTGCTTAAAATAGCTCCGTGCTTTCCTTTCAGACTATTCTTTTATAATGGAATATTACTATTATAGTTAAAAGATTGGCTTAAACTATGATTGCCTTTAAATCATTTGAGGTGGAAGTATAGTTTTCCCTACATTTCTTCTCTTTTTTTAAAAAATATTTTTTAATTGATTTTAGAAAGAAAGGAAGGGAGAGAGAGAAACATCAATCGGCTGCCTCCTGCATGCCCCTACTGGGGGGTAAGCCAGCAACCTGAGCATGTGCCCTGACTAGGAATCCAACCGGCGACCTTTTGGTGCATGGGACTACGCTCAACCCACTGAGCCACACCGGCAGGGCTCTTCATAGTGAGAGAGAAGTTTTTCCATTGTATTCTTTATTGACTCTGCACTGGGAATGAGTAGTCTTTTATTACCTTTATATACTTTATAAGAAGTCAAAAGAGAAACTGAAGGCAAGGGAGATTATCTTCTTAGCAGTTTAGTATGTTTAGTCCCACCTGTTGTTTCCTCCCTCTGGTTTTGCTGTCTGAATTAATTAGGCATTTTAAAGTCATACATTTCTGCCTTGAGAACATTGTGATTATGCTTCACTTCACAGTTGGCTTTGCTTCTCTGTAGGGTTATGCCTAAATTTCTTTCCACCCATCTTTAAGAGAAATTACTGATAAGAAATGATCTTGCTTTATATGTTATAGATCTTGAAAGCATTATCATTAAATATATATATACATTAGGAAATACATTAATAAAGAATTAAAAGGTAAAATAGTTGTAATTTTAAAAAATCTGCTTGGATTCATTTTAGTTCTGTATGTAAGTAAATATTTTTTTCAGGTTTAAAGTGCAAAGTGTTTTTTCTGTGTGTTTACCCTTTCTACTTGACATTTTAGAAAAATTATGGTTTTCTTGGTGGGCGCTTGTGTTTTTTTAATAAAAATTCTATGTTTTTGAAATGAGGGAAAGAATCACTTTTACTTTGAAACTTATCATTTTCCTTTTCAAAACATCATCTTTTGTTTCTTGGATAATTCAGTGGGTTAAACAGTGAGATGTGTTGATATTTGAAAGGGAAACTGCATTTCAAATCTGTAATCACCATGAGTAAACACTCATGTATGTGTTTTTTTGTATTTGATATACATCAAGTTGTTTACTAAATTAAACATTTGCTTAATAAACAAGTATAAATCTCATGATCTGTAATGGAGCTACACTCATTGAAATGATTATCTTTTTAGAATAAAATTTATGCTACTTTGAAGAAAAAATATGACTATAAAAAGGTGATAATGGTTTGTGTAAATTACATTGATTCTGTTTTAAGCAAACAGTTCAGAGATTTCCAGTAACCTTTAAATATATTTAATGATTTTTTAACTCCAGAATTGAAAAAAAGCTTAAACAAATTTATTATCTGTCATGACTGAAAATAAAAGTTGTACCATTGGATAGGCACAAGAGTATTGAGCTTAGTGGTCTGCATTATCTCTTAGATCCTGTTTCCCATGTCAGATCATCTTCCAGCAGAGTATATGTACTACTTTTTATAGTTTCCACTTCTAAGAAGTTAATTGTATAAGACATACTCCCTCATTCAGAATTTATCTTCTGTACCTGAAACTGAGAGTACTGTATACGGAACCCCTAGAAATTAGGCCTGGCATATATGTGTATATATCCTCACAGGAGGATATTTTTTCCATTGCTTTTCAGAGAGAGTGGAAGGAGATTGGAGAAACATCGACCTGAGAGAGGCACATTGATTGGTTGCCTCCTGCACTCGCTCCGGCCAGGGCTGGGAATGGAGCCTGCAACTGAAGTATATGCCCTTGGCGGGAATCAAACCTGGGACCCTTCAGTCCGCAGGCTGACGCTCTAGCCACAGCCAAACCGGCCAGGGCAGATCTGTCACATTTTTTAGGACAAGGAGTACCAAAGTGTTTTTTACATAGAAATGTAAATCTTACTACCACCAGAAAAGTGCTAGATTAGTTGCTTAAGGTACTTATAAATCCTGATAACTAATAGCCTTCCACATTTGACAAATCTTATCTTTAAAAATTTTTTTTAAAATTTTGAAATAGTTTTTGACTCACAAAATATTGCAAAAGTATTAGAGTTCCTGCATACCCATCACCCGTTTTCCCCCAGTGATAGCATTTTACTTAACCATAGTATATTATCAAGACTAAGAAATTGACGTTGGTACACTATTAACTAAACTACAGTCCTTATTTGGATTTTACTAGTTTTAGGTTCATAGCAAAATTAAGTGGAAAGTACAATTTCCATATAGTCTCTGCCCTTCACTTGCACAGCCTCCCACACTATCAATATCCCCCACCAAAGTGGTACATTTGTTACATTCAGTGAACCTACATTGATACATTGTTAACACTCAAAGTCCATAATTTCCATTAGGGTTTACTCAGTGGTGTACATTCTATGGGTTTTGACAAATGTATTCATTGAAAATAGTTTCACTGCCTTAATCCTCTGTACTTCGTTCATTCCCTGACCCTAACTTCAGGCAACCACTGATCTTTTTATTGTCTCCATAGTTACCTTTTCCAGAGTGTTTAGTGTATAGACTTTTCAGATTGGCTTTTTTTCACTTAGGAATTTGCAATTAGTTTCCTCTCTGTCTTTTCATGGCTTGACAGCCCATTTCTTTTTAGTGTTGAATAACAATCCATTGTTTGTACCCAGTTTATCCACTCAGCTACTGATGGGCAAGTTGGTTACTTCCCAGTTTTGGGAATTATGAATAAAGCTGCTGTATACATCTATGTGCAAGTTTTTGTGTGAACATAAGTTTTCAGTTCATTTGGGTAAACACCAAGGAGTGCAATTGCTGGATCATATGTTAAGAGTATGTTTAGGTTTCTTAGAAACTGCCTCCTAAAATAGTTGGACCATTTTGCCTTCCTACCAGCAATAAATGAGTTCCTGTTCCTCTACATCCTTGCCAGCATTTGGTGGTGTCTGTGGTTTGGGTTTACTTCATTCTTAATAGGTATGTGGCTGTACCTATTTTGGTTTGCAATTCCCTAATGACATATAATAGCCATCTTTTCATATGCTTACTTGCCATCTGTATATCTTCTTTGGTGAGGTGCCTTTAGGTCCATTGTCATTTTTTAATCTGACATTTTAACCACTGAGCCAAACAGGTTAGGGCAGGTCTGTCATAATTATTATTTTCTTATTATTGAGTTTCAAAAGTTCTTTGGATGTTTTAGATAACAGTCCTTTATGAAATGAGTCTTTTGCAAATATTTTCTTTCAGTGTGTGGGTTGTCTTACTCTCCTGGCATTGTTTTATGGCCTAGCAGAAGTTCTTAATTTTAATGAAGTCCAGTTTATCCAGCTTTTTTAGATTGTACCTTGTGTTGTATCTAGAAAGTCATACCCAAAGGTCATCTAGGTTTTCTCCTTAGTTATCTTCTAGGAGTTTTATAATTATATGTTTTATGGTTAGGCCTATGACCCATTTTGAGTTAATTTCTGTGCAGGGTGTAATGTCTGTTTCTAGATTCATTGTTTTGCATGTGGATGCCCAGTTGTCCCAGCACCATTTATTGAAAAGACTGTCTGTGCTTCATTGTATTGCCTTTGCTCTTTTGTTGAACATCAGCTGATTGTGCTCTATTCTGTCCCATTGATCTATCCTTTTGTCAATACCATATTGTCTTGATTACTGTAGCTTTATATGGAGAGTCTTGAAGTTAGGTAATTTTGTGTTTCCTAGGTTTAATAATACAATGGGGGCTTTTTGAGGCTATCCTAATAAAGCTTTTTCTAAAAAAAAGAATTTATATGTGAAGTAAAATTTCCCCCCTCATCTTCAGTTAGGTGAATATTGAAAATGGAGGCAACTTTGATATAATTCACTTTTTCCCTTATTCTGTGTAGTGCCTTGGAATGTTTTCATCAAATATAAAATGTATTATTAGTACTGACGTCAGTAATGCCCAAAATATTTAAATTCATAGTTCCCCCATAAAAACAGTTTAGTTAATTTTTGCCATAAAATTTTTTGAAAAGTTATATCACTTTTCAGACTATCATCTTTTTTCTCCTTGGGTCTAAAGACTTTTCTTACTCGAGTACACTAAACAAGTATGCAGTAAAAAACCAATATAAACATTACTTTCTCAGACAAAAACATACTCTGTTACTTGACACTTTCTATGCAGAGATTATCGTTTCAAACACGTTTGAATTGTGCATCAGATTGTTTTGCCTTCATAATGTCAAATGAGAGGAA